GTACTGTGTGTGTGGGACTCTTTATTTGGACCATGTGCTCTAACGTATCCCTCAAGGCCTGATTCTTTCTTCACCTATTTTATTATTTCTTTTTTCAGGCGTAATCAATATACTAATAGTTTTGCCATTCCCTGCCATACCTGAAGTATGTTCCCTGACTTTGGTTCTGTTCCTTGTTCTGTTACTTGCTTTTAAAACTATAATTGACTTCCTGCAAGCAACCATAATACTAGCTTAAAGTCCTGGTGTCCAACCTATTTGTCTTTTTCACTGGGACATCGGATCCAGATCAGTTCAGGTGAAGCCTTTCCAACTATACAGCTCCTACTTGTCCCAATACTGAGGCCAGTATGCCATGCAATGGAACTCCTCTTTTCCTGTACCACTCTTTCATCCACATACTTATTTCCCTAATTGTCTTTTCTGTCAGTTTTCACATAGCTCAGCTAATAATCCAGAGACTTTAACTCTTGAGTTCCTGTTCTCAAACTTTGTTCCCAATTCTTGATATTCCAGAAACAGACCTCTTGCCTTTCCTTCCCTATGTTATTGGTTCCAATATGGACCACAAAAGCTGGATATTACCCCTTCTACTCCAGTATCCTTTAAAGCCATTATGAGATGTTCCTTATTTTGACATTAGGTAGGCAATTCAGGACTCGTGACCCTGTTTTACAAAGGATGCTATCCATATCCTTAATTACAGAATCCCTTGCCACTGCTACTTCTTTGCACCCCCTGTTTGAATGGCCTCCTGTACCAAGATGCAGTGGTCAGTTTGCCCATCCTCCCTATAGACCTTCTCCTTATTCACACAAGGACTAAGTAACCTGTACCTGTTGGACAAGGTCAAGAGCTTAGGTTCGTCCTAAGTTCAGGATCTCTCTACCTGCCTTGCTCATGGTCATGGCTTCCTGCCCCTGACCACTGGCTAAATTTGAAGTACTTAACCTATGAGGGGTGACTGCCTCTGAAACACAGCATCCAGGTAATTTTCTGAAGAAGGGTTGCAACCCAAAAAGTCAACTTTCCTGCTCCTCTGATGCTGCCTGGCCTGCTGTGTTCCTCCAGCTCCACGCTGTGTGTTGTCTCTGACTCCAGCATCTGCAGTCGTTGCTATCTGTCCTCTGCCTGATATGTTCAGTGTTTTGAAGTTCAGTTTCTATCTCATCAATTCTGAGCCGGTGTTCCTCAAGCAACCAGCAGTTGCTGCAGATATGGTAACTCGATGGGGTCCTGTAGATACGATGCATCACCTGGACCTCCATCTGCCTTTTTACAATTTTATTTATTTGTATTTCCCTCCTGGTTTTAATCTTTTTGTTTGAAAAAAGACTACTTGCTGTACCTGCATACTAACTGTAATTCATGCACTAAAGCACCAAGATCTCGCTACAACTCAATGCTGCAGTCACCTCCATTTTAATTGATACTTCACTTTTTCATTCTTCCTGCCAAAGTGAACAATATTTCATTTCTCCTGCACTGTCCTTCTGTTGTAATTTGCCTGCTCACTTTCTCAATATCTAAATCTGTCTGCAACTGCTTTAAGTCATCTTCAGCATTAATTCCTGTGTACCTTTTGTTAACCAAGATTTTGGCTACTGTCTTCTCTCACTTCCAAGTCATTTGAAGTAAATTTTAAAACAAAATTGAAGCCTCCGCACAGATATTTGTGGGACTGTGCTCATCACATCCTGCCAATCAGCTAGTTTTCTATCCACGCTCGTATGTTGTTCACTACACTATATGAACAAAGAATGGTACACACAGGTACAGGCCCTTTTTAGCCCACCAAGATTGTGCTGACACACATTTTTCTAAACTAAAATCCTTTTACCTCTACATGGTCTATATCTCTGTTCATTGCCTATTCACATCTATCAAGATGCCTCCTAAAAATTGCTATTAATCTGCCTCCACCACCACCTCTGTGCATTTCAGGAACTTACCACCCTCTGCTTTTTTTTTTCTTAAAGACTTACCTCTCCCTTCTTTTTCAACTTACCCCTTTTTTCATTTTTAAACCTGTGTCCCCTGGTTATTGACATTTCTACCCAGGGGAAAAAGACTCTTGACTATCCTCTTTATCCATGCCTCTCAATTTTGTAAACTTCTATTGGGTCACCACTCCTCCTTCGATGTTCAAGCAAAAACTAACCAAGTTTGTCCAATCTCTTCTCATAACCAATACCCTCCAAACCAGGCAACATTGTGGTAAACCATTTCTGTACCCTCTGCAAAAGCCTATAAATCCTTCTGGTAGTGCAGTAACCAGAACTACACAATATTCCAAATGTGGCCTAGTTAACATACTGTACAGCTGCAATATGACTTGCCATGTTTTTATACTCTGCCCTGACAAAGGCAAGCATGCTATATGCCTTTTGACCACCTTATCTACTTGTATTGCCACTTCGAGGAAACTGTGGATCTGCATGCCTAGACATTGCTGTATGTTATTCTGAGATAGCAAGAACTGCAGATGCTGGATTCAGAGACAACAGCATGAGGGGAGCAGGAAAGTTGATGTTTCGGGTCAGGACCCTTCTTCAGAAATGGGAGAGGGGGAAGGGAGCTCTGAAATAAAGAGGAGGGGTGGAGCTGGGGAAGGCAGGTGGGATAGTGATAGGTGAGTGCGGGTAGGCAGTGGTGGGGATTGGTCATGGAGGTGGGAGGAGCAGATAAGTGGGAGAGAAGACGGACAGGTTGTGTCAGGCCAAGGAAGCGGGGATGAGATGGAGGGTTGGACATGGGATGAGGCCGGGATTGGGGAGATTTTAAAACTGGTGAATTCCATGTTTAGGAGGCTATTGAACTGTAGGCTCCTGAGGCGGAATATGAGGTGTTGCTCCTCCAGTTTGCGAGTGGTGTCATTGTAACACTGGATGAGGCCCAGGATGTACATGTCACCCAGGGAGTGGGAGGGGGGAGTTAAAATGGTTGGCGACTGGAAGGTGGTGTTGTTTGTCATGTACAGAACACAGATACTCTATGAAACGGTTTCCGAGTCTACTCTTGGTCTCACTGATATCGAGGAGGCCACATCGGGAGCAGTGTATACTGTCTGACATGAAGGGTTTCACCTGCACGTCCGTCAACTTGGTCAACTGTGTTGTCTCTCTATGTTGATGCTTCTAAAGGTTCTGCCGTTTTCTGCATACTTCCCTCCTGCATTAGCTCTTGAAAAATGCGTCCTCTTGCATTTGTTCAAACTAAACTCTATCTACCATTTTTCTGCCCAGGTCTCCAGCCTGTCTACTTCCTGCTGTATCCTCTGGCAATCCTCATTATCCACAGATTGGCTAATCTTTGTGTTGTCTGCAAACTTACTAATCAGGCCACTAGCATTCTCCTCCAATTCGTTTTTAAATATATATACATATTGAAAACAACAGGGGTCCCAGTACTGATCCCTGTAGAACACATCATGTTTTTTATTTCAAAAATATACTTTTATTCATAACAGATACCTGTAAATACGTACATAATCACAAATGCAGTTCAGTTTGTACAGTAGCATATCAAGGAAACAAATATTGGAGTTTGACTCTATCCAAACAAACCAAAGACATTTCTTACTTGAACCAGACTACATTCACATGCATTTGAGACACCAGGAGAGTCTGATAATTGAATGGACCCCATTTAATTTCAACAGAAAGACCTCAGATGGTAGTCTTTCCCCTCTTATGTCTCGGCAGCAGCTGCCCCAAGCTTCAGTGCATTCCTCAGCATGTATTCTGGGACCTTTTGGAATGCATCAGTCTGCAACACTGGTCAGGGTCAACTCCTTGTTCTGGAAGACCAAGTTTCAGGCAGACCAAAGAGCATCTTTCACAGAGTTGATGGTCCTCCAGGCATAGCCAAGGTTTGTTTCGGCGTGTGTCCCGATGAACAGACAGTAGAGCACAGAGTCGTGTGTCATGGAGCTGCTTGGGACAAACCTCAACAAAAACTCCTGCATCTCTCTCCAGATTGACTTTGCAAAGGCAATTTTCAGAAAGAGATGTGTGACAGTCTCCACCAGCATCCCAGCTGGTTCAATTGCAGTGTGCGATGTCGTAGTCCGAAGCATATGTGAAGGATCTCAGTGCCCTACCGAAGACCTGCCAAGCAATGTCTTGGCGCTTGTTGGAAAGTTCTGGTGATGAGGCATTGTGTCAAATTCAGTTGGCAGTCTGCTCAGAGGTCAACTCTCTCCTTTTCCCATAGGGTCTCGCGGATGTTACGTGCTGACCACTTCCTAATGGACTTGTGGTCGAAGGTGTTTCTCTTTGCAAATTTCTCCACAAAGGACAGGTGATACGGAATGGTCTAACTGCTTGGAGTGTTCCACATAAGAAGGCCAGTCCCATCATTCGCAACACCTGGGACAAGTAGAACTTTAGTACATAGTGACACTTGGTGTTTGTGTACTGAGGAATTACATACAGCTTGATGCAGCCACGTGCAAAAGTGGCCATCAGGATGAAGGCGGTGTTGAATATATTCTTTTCCTGACCCGTTATCCAAAGTTTTGTGCGTGGAGTCCCTGTGGACATCAGTCCATCTTAGATCTCCAGATGAATAACGTTATGTGGCACCTTGTCAAATGTCTTCTGGAAATCCAAGTACAGTGTGCCAGTAGGTTTCCCTTATCCACAGTGTGATTGATTCCTTCAAAAGATTCTGATAAATAGGTTAAACGTCTTTCCTTTCCACAGAACTGTTGTTACTTTTTTTTTTACCTTTTGAATTTTCCAAGTGCCCAGCTACATCATCTTTGATCCTAGCACCTATCCCAATGCAGATATCAAGATAAATGGCCTAGTTTCCTATTTTCTGGTCCTTGTATGGTGAAAGTCTGTGTAGGCAAACTTAGAAGTGATGTTAAATTTCATTGTGTTTGCCCCCTCACTAAGAGGAGACTCTGAAAGTATGGGAATGGACTCTCGATGGGTGATGTGAAATTTTACTATTATATTTTTATGTCCAACCTTGTCTTTGCCACCTTTCAGATCAATGTTCGTGTTACAACAATGGATGCAGAGCTGGAGTTTTCCATCCAACCCAGCACTACAGGCAAGCAGCTCTTTGACCAAGTAAGTAAGATTTTTATTTCTCGTGTACAGTATTGTATGATCTTAATATGCACCATACTGTGTATGTAGTGGTGAGCTGTGGATCATGTGACACTTGCCATGGAGGAAAAACAGAAGTTTTCATTGGACAATAATGGTGGGACCAAATCAAATTGGAGAGGCGGTGAATTAATTATCCCCTTCCTCAATAGGAAATTGATAAGAGATTTTGAAACGGACGGTTTCTAAACTGAAATTGAGTCTCCGTTTTGGGTTGACATGCAATATTCAATGTGATTAACTATAGAATCTTAACCAAAACACCTCTCTTTAGCAGGTTAGGAATGAGAAAGCAATGCCTGTCTAAATCTTTTTCCCCCTCATTTGAAGCCATCTGTAGTGGTGATTATTAACAGCACCAAAATTGGTAAAAATACACTTCAATGTAATAAATCATTACCATGCACTTCAGAGGAATATTATAAAGCAGAATTTGGCACCCAGCCACAACAGGAGAGAGGGTAAGTATTTGACAGAAATCTTTGTTGATGAAGTAGGTTTTGAGGAGGAACAAGTGACAGAGGTTGAGTAATTAGCATGGAGGCCAGCTTCAATAGAATAATGAACAATAGTATTTGGTGAGGGAGAAATCGGGCAGTGAGGGAAAAGGTGCTGTCTTGGTCCTTTTTACAGAATGGGGGAAGGCCCAAGAAAGGGAGAAAGGAACCATGAGAGCTGAAACCTGGAGACACTAAATAGGTAAGCAAGTAGGTGACAACAAGGTGCAGGGCTGGATGAACACAGCAGGCCAAGCAGCATCGTAGGAGCCGAGAGGCTAGACGTTTCGGGCCTAGACCCTTCATCAGAAAAGGGGGAGGGGAAGGGGGTTCCGAAATAAATAGGGAGAGAGTGGGAGGTGGATAGAAGAGGGATAGGTGGAGAGGAAACAAACAGGTCGAAGAGGCGGGGATGGAGCCAGTAAAGGTGAGTGTAGGTAGGGAGTTAGGAAGGGGATAGGTCAGTCCAGGGAGGACGGACAGGTCAAAGGGGCGGGATGAGGTTGGTCGGAAGGAGATGGAGGTGCGGCTTGAGGTGGGAGGAGGGGATAGGTGGGAGGAAGAACAGGTTAGGGAGGCAGGGACGAGCTGGACTGGTTTTGGGATGCGGTAGGGGGAGGGGAGATTTTGAAACTTGTGAAATCCACATTGATACCATTGGGCTGCAGGGTTCCCAAGCGGAATATGAGTTGCTGTTCCTGCAACCTTCGGGTGGCATCGTTGTGGCACTGCA